AAGCCCATTTCAGGCTGGCTGATTTGATTAGTCACTATTAAGGGGCAGATCTGAGATTAGGATGAGCCCAAAAGCTTATCTAATCTGCAGATAAGATTAAGAAGAGTTCTAATCCAAATACAGATTTGGATAAGGGCAACTCCTGATATGATCAGGAGATCCTTTCTTAATCATTAAGCAACTGGAGGAAACCCTATTTGAATAACAAGAATTCGAACCCTTGGGACACAGAACACACCCTATAGTTTTGTGAGATAGAATCTCAGAAACCCTAGAGAAGAAAAGCAGTTCACCACCTTTTTCTCTAGTTTCCTCCTGTTGCAGCCGCCACCATCTATCACAGTTCGTTTTCTCTGTCAGAGAAAGATCAAGAAAAAGTTCTTGATATCAGTCTTGGTTGAAAGGCTGATTCGGTTTGGTGCTCATTGTCCTCCAAAGGATTCTTGTAAAGGATTCAGTGTGTAGGACGCACCCTGCTGGTTCTGTTCCACAGTTGCTGTGTCATCTTCAGCAGGAGCAGATGTTGGTGCCTTCTTTGGGCGTGAACACCAACTTTGGGAGATAATAATTCTCTGGATCAGGTATAATTACTCCATTTTCTTATTGGTTCAGATCTGGTTCGGTTCTGATTCAAGTAGGATCCTTGAATCTTGATTCTAAAATTAGGGAATGTGATTCCCAGTTGAAAGGTAGGTAGAAAATTTTTGAAATTCACCCACCCATTCCGCAACTGTTTTGGCGTCCATACGATGGATTCTACCATCCCTTTCAGTTTATAGAGCCCATAAGCTTTTATCTTGCATGTGTAAAACTCTTGCCAAAGTGCATATTGGTAATTAAAGATTTAAAGGAGGTTCTTGCTCAACTAATAAAAAAAAAGATTCTTGTTCATACTGTAGGGCCGCATCAAGGGAAAAATTAAAAAAGTCAGTTGATGAAAATATCAACTACATGAAAATTAAAAAAAAATGACAGAAATATAGGAAGCTTCATTTTGAATTATTATAAAAATTTTATACCATTATAAATATTAATCTTTGAAGATATCTGATAATATTTTTTGAAAAGAATTTGGATAAAAAGGAGATACTAATTTAAATAAATATATCGCTATTAACTGATAAAATGATGCTTTTAAAATGATTACAAAATTTTAAGATAGTTTCTTCCTTCACTAAAAATAAATATAAGGATTTCAAGAATTGTTATAGCACTATTAATTACTATAAAATATACAAAAGTAACTATTTCTCATATTTAGGTTGTAAATATTTTTTAACAACTCAAAAGAGTGCATTCCTCAAAATTGAGTCCAGACAATTGTGTGTAACATGAATCTGAGTATTAGGAGAAAAAGCTAATGGTAAAGTTGAAATATTAAGTTGCAGGCAGTGGTCATCCTATGAAACTAGAACTTAAGTTGGCTTATCTTTAACATGAAAAAAAGTAAACATAGGGCAAATGAAATAAATAAACATGTATATATCACATTCTTGGGATTATAACCCAATGTTAGTGCCTTCTATCTGGGGACTTGGGAGGGGTGGAATGGATACAGACCTAACCCTATCCATTCTTTTTTTTTTATTTTTTTGAAGCCAACCTTAGCCATCCTTTGGGACCCAAACTATAAATGAATAAATAGTTCATGGCCATAATCATAATTTAATACATCCTTCATCAAAAAAAAGAAAACCAAAGCATTTTGATTTTTTATTATTGAGACATTTTTGTTTCTTAGTTTATTGGCTTCAATAAGAGAACATACCCCTTCCAATTTTTTGTATGAGAATATGCCCTCTCATGTTGTATGGAGTTTCAATTAGCATTCATGCTCCAACTGGAACTTTGCATTTTTTTGTGTGCTGTCAATTTAATATTTCAGTCAAAACAGTCAAAATTTAGGGGCCATTTGGTAATGGATGAACTTACTGAATTGAACAACTTACTGCTTTGTCTTTTTTTTTTAAGATAAAATAAAAATTTTATTAAAAGAAATAAGAAATCACCACACAACTTCCACATCAAAGCTAAAAGACTTCAAACCAGCCTTATCCAAAACAAAACCAAAGACAAAATAAAACTAAACCAGAACAACATCCTCAACCCAACACTTGAACCTCTGCACCTCAAAAGCTTCCCTTTCACCAAACGGCTTCTTTGCATCACCCCTTCACCTTCATCCCAAGAAAGAATAATCCAAGAGACTTCCCAATTTCCACCCATCTATCTACTAGTTTGTCAATACCCACTACTTCCTTACTAGAATTGCCCTCCTTAGGAGACTCTTCATTTCCACAGTCCCCTCTCTCCTTTCCCCTTCTTCCTAAAAATGAAATTATGTAGCTGCCTTATATGCCAACAATACAATTTTTCCATCCTTTTTTCCTCCCTTCTCAATCACCTTTTCGCTGACCTCTTTCTCAGCTACAATCTCTTCACCTTCCTTCTCTTTTGTAATCTCTAGCCAATTTTTTCTTTCTTTTCCTTTGAGGCCTCCACATCTATTTGATTAGGAGGAATATAATTTGAAATCGAGTTATCCGGATCTAAATTCAGAGTTGTTACCTTATTTCTGTCTTTCGGTGAGGTTTTCCCTTTAGCCTTAAATTTCAATCTTTTCCTTCTGTAAATTCTCATAATTCTGCCGCTAGGACCATCCGCGAGTAGTCCTTCCTTAAGTCTGTGGAATACTTTAGTCACATGAATTAAATGCTTGTGTAGAGAAGATGGGCCGAAAGGCCCATAGGCTGTTATTCTATGTAATATTTATGTTCTTTTCTGTAATGGGCCTTATTCTGGGCCCATCCTCTTCTATGCTTTGTTTTTGTAATTTTTTGCCCAACCAAGGGCCTCTCTTGTAATTATTCAAGAATTAACTTAATAAAATCGTACTAGAGTGTTAGAGGGGGAGACTAGTTCGAACCTCTCATTCTCTAACCCTCCTTGCCGCAAGCTCTCTCTCTCTCCATCTTCACCAATCTTTTCAGTTGTTTGCCTTTTCTGGTTTTTCATCTAATCTTACACAGTCCATACTTCGAAGGGCTGTTTTTCAACTTGGTATCAGAGCAGGCCTGAGCTTGGCGTGGCTCTCATGTGGTTATAGTCCAGCCGACTACATGAGGGTGTTATAGGGCTGGAGGTTTAGACTCATTCGCCTGATTCTTGGAGGTCATTGGAGGGTGCCCAAGACTTTAATTGTTAGGAGAATAGTTCGGTGACCAGGAAGAATCAGAGAGAATGAATGTTTGACCTGATTTGGAGCTCGAATCAGAGATTGATAAAACTGTAAGTTGCTTCAGTTATTTTTGGGTTATATTTCTGATTTGGGGGGACTGTTAGAGTGTTCGAAACCCCTCTAAATCTGTTCAGCTGTTCAGTTGTGATCAACCTGATTTAACTCAGAGATTTCTGGGTTGGTTTCTCATCTTGTTGGACTGTCAAGTGGCCGAAACCTTTTTGGACTCAGTGGCGCGAGTTCCTACTTCAGTTCAGTTGCATCTTGGACCTATACAGACTGCTCCTGAAGTGGTTCTTACTTGGTGACAGTGGGGTGTTCACTACTACATATATAGTGTTCGTAAAAAGGCCCCTTTAATTACTGTGGATTGTGTTTTGCTCTCTTTAGGGCACCTATTGTTGGGAACCTGGAATCCCTTACTAGGAAGCTACTCTAA